ATATGACCTCTTCAATTAAAAAAAAAAAGCATATCCAAGAAAAAGATGGACTTGTGCCTAAATATGTCACTAACAAGATGCCAAACATTACACGATGTGACTGCTCATCAAAGCACTGTGTTGGAGGCAAAATCTTTGAGAAATGTTCCTTCATTTACACAGGGCAGCCTTCAAGTGGTACACCATGTATGTATGAAACATTCCTGTATGAAGCAGCAGTAGGCAACAGTGGCCCACCAGATATTTCAGGACATTTTACACAGTGCTGTATCTTTCTATCCAAAGTCATGAATAATGGTTCCAAACCCAGCTAGGTTATTTAGGCATAGAAGTTTAAAAAAACTACACAATTTTTCACAATAGTAAAACTCATCATGGTCATAATCTGGGTGGTGTCATAACTCTGCAAAGACTGTCAGAACAGGGTTGTTGTAGGTTTTCCGGGCTATATGGCCATGTTCTAGAAGAATTCTCTCCTGACGTTTTTCCTGCATCTATGGCAAGCATCCTCAGAGGTTGTGGGGTCAGAACAGGTAATGAAGTCCAGTTATAGTCCCTTTCCACACAGCTATATAAAATCCACATTGAGTGGATTACATGGAAGTGTGGACTCAGATAATCCAGTTCAAAGCAGATATTGTGGATCATCTGCCTTGAAATTCTGGGTTATATGGCTGTGTCACATAAGACAACACTGTTTTCCACAGTGTTGCCTTGTGGCTTTCAGGTCAAAGAAGCAGTGAATCCATGCTAGGTATAGCCTGACTTTTATCAAAGGTGCTGAGCCAGCAATGCCAAGGATGGCAAAAAAGGAGAGCATATTCACTGCTCAATTGACATAACAACTGTTCAGCCATCACTGAACCAGAACTCAGATCTGTATGCTTGGGAAACACCCAGAAATCTGCTGAAAACTCTAGAGGTAGACCCCTTGAGGTCAATTCCTCTGTAGTAAGATATCACTTGAGGAGACTCTTATTTTTTAGAAGACCTCTCTTGGAAACAATCACTCCTCCCTACATCCTCAGACTAAGTTCCTTCCTTCATTCATCACTTTTCTCCCAGCCTAAGTGTCCTTCCAGAGAGCCATAAAATGCAGAACCTTTCTCAGATTTATCTGAGGCACCCAAATGATGCTGCAGATACATCTGAATTAACCCAGAGTAAACTGGGATTTCCCAGTTTACTCTGGATTAATTAAATATCCAAAAATATCTGGATATTAATGTAATGTCTGGATCTTTTGAGGTGTGAGGCCTGTGAGGAAATTCCTTCCTTGTTAACCTTCCAATGTGTCATTTTGACATGGTAGAAGCTTTTGACTGAGGGGCCTGAGCATGCAGCCAGGCCCTTCAGGCACATTTTGAGGGTAAATTGGGGGGATGGGGACTGGCGGAATGCCCTCCTGGGTCATCCGGGGTAGTGGTGGCATGTAGCTCCCTCTCCAGGGAAAACTCAGTGTTTGAGGGAGTTGCGGAGCCTCAATCCTAGGAGGAACTTGGTTAAAATATCTCAGTTCCTCCCGAGATTTGGCCCTTTGTGGAATGACCCCAAGACACCTCTTCTTGTTATGATTAACAGCTGGATTTTCATCCATCCATTTGTGGTTTCTTTTCTTTGTTTGTCACAGTTGCAGATGAGGACTGCTTCAATGAAACATTTTACAGGGAAAATGTTTTCTTCAGTAGATGCCTAAAAGCATACATTGTGCTGGTGAACCTACATTCATAGTTATCTTCCATTGTATATCCCTGAAAAGAAAACAATGTTACAAGGCCATATATTTAAATTATTTTTTAAAAGATCCAGGAAACACTTACTTAATGTTCTAAGCAACCTTGGCATGATTTCCACAAGGCTAATCAATCAAAATGCTCTCCTCTATGAGTAATGTTATGAGAGTAATGAGATAAAGGACAGATGCACTGAATGTTAAAAAGGAGAAGGAGGGCTACTTCAACTGTTGCAACCTTCCCTCCAAGGAGCTTGGAGGAACTAGGCTGGGCAGATGGGAAACTGACCATAGGGTTGCACTGTAGGAGAGGTGTTCACTCTGTTTTAAAAATGTGGTTTTAATCTTTCTGTGATCGTAACCCCAGCAAATTTGGAGGGATGACCACAGAGTCCTAAGACTATATTACAATAGCGTTATAAAGCAGAAGTGACTGCTTTGTTATCGCCTGGTGTGCTCCTGCAGAAATCTGGGAAATGTACTTTAGGGAAGCCAACAACCTCTCTAGCTGAGAATTCCAAAGGTACTGCTGTAAACTACATTTTCCAGAGTTCTGCAGGTGCAAACTGTATGACAATGAAATGAGGGCCTCTACTTTATGATGAGAATGTGATATCGTCCCAAGTTCACCATCACGCTGTAGTCAGGTCTTTCTGGCTCTTCTCCCTTCAGCTCTCCAGAAAAAGGTTTTATAGATTTTAGGATGCATGTGGAGATGAAGGGGGGAAGAAGAATTACCCTCCTGCATCTGAATTAATGTACAGTAAGTAACTTCTGCAAGACAGATTATTGCGTTAGATATTGGCACTGGGCAATGGAATGTCGATTTAAATGACAGCAAAACAGATCCTGCCTAAACATTAGGAAGAATAGATTGCTTTGGACAAATGGGTCAGTTGGACTCTTCTGCTTTTGATGTCTTTAAAAAATCTCAAAGCCTTGTTCTGGAATGCATTAGTTGTGTATTCTTGCAATGCAGTAGATTGAACTAAAGGGTCATTGCAATGCCCTTCCAACTCTTAAGATCCCATGTTTCTATGAACAGGAAAGGCATCTTGCATTCCTGGAAGAAGGCTGCTGATATGCAATGTTTTACTAGACTTGGTGATCATGAGCCTGATGAAAATGACTACACAAGAATGATTATCAGCATACTGATGTGATTCATTTCTTTCAACCAGACAAAAGTGAGATGTATAAAAACTCAGCAAGAGATTCTTGAAAAGCAAGTTGCAGTATCTTTCTACAGATCAGTCTTTGTGAACTGAGAGAAAATATAAAGATTCAATTTTTTTAGGAAAAATGTCGGTGTCTTTCATGACCGTTCCTAAACAAAACACATGCAAGGCCCTCTGGCAAAATCTCATGCATGATTGGCTAGAAGAACCTGTTGATTTTATCTTTTATAAATCCATTGAGTCATATCCAATGATAAAAATGATGTTGACATTGTTGGTTTTTTTTTTTTTTTTTTTGCCTATGGGAGCATGAGTAACCTTAAGCAAAAGGAGACTGATCTACAGTTTATAATTTGGCCCTAGAATTATTTTCTATTGCAAAGTCCCTTCTGAAGTAGACCTGTAGAATTAATTTTGGTCTGTAGAATTAATTTGACAATTATTTCATTAATTTGGGAGGGGTAGCTTAGGGTTTTTTTTCCTATCAGGAGCAACTTGAAAACTGCAGTTTGGTAGTTTGGTGAAGCATCAGTATTCTTTGCCAGAGAAGGCTGAAGATATTGTAAAATTACAATGCCATAATCCCATAACATTGAGCCATGGCAGTCAAAATGATGTCAATCTTCATTAATTCTATGGTGTAGGTACATCTAGTGTCCATGAATGGCTGTTCACCTCTATCCTCCCTCTCCCATGGCAGGAGTTGGATCTAATGAGACAAGTGTAAATGAGAGAGGAAGTTTAAAAGGTAGCAGTAAAGAATGGGTCAGGCATTAGAGTAAGGAGTACCCTAGGAGTTTCAATTTGATAAGGCTCAAAAATTATTCAGCCTATAATGTGGACAATCACAGATCAGATAAAACAAACACAACCAAACTAGCTAATGCTAAAGATCCATGGTCCTTTCTGGTGATATACAGGACTGAACCCCTAGTAGGAAGACAGAGAATGGCCACAGAAATCACCAACAAATCTGAGTTTCCATCCCTCATAAGTAATCTGATAGGCTGTGCTGATGATATTAACCTCATGAAATCTCAGATGCCAACAGAGTGAGTGAATGGCTTCAACAGGTAGGAACTCTTTCCCCCTGCAAAATTCCTTCTTCCCCACAGAGCTCTCGCTCAAGATCATCAGAAGCATACATTCTATAAAAAATATGCATTGTGTAAAAGAGAACAGTTGAATCTTATGTAGACTTAAACAATATGCTTTCGCTCCAACAATATTTCCTCAGAAATATTGTACTAACCAGTACTAATCAGACATGTCATTTAAGTCAATTTTTATGTTCTAATAACAAATCACAAAAAGGAAAATTGCATGCTATGATAAAGAAATAACTTTCAAGGAGTACTAAGTTTATTGTCTTATTTGACCCTTACTCTCAGATAAATGTGTATAGAATTGCACACACAATTGTGCCGATATGCTTAGGTTACATAACAAATAGAATCTTTTGAAATTGGTATTTCTTTTTTGCTTTGCCCATGAGTTATCAGTTCATACAATTGTTCAGTCCAAGAGATTCAGGACCAATATTGCACAGATTTTGAAAATCCCATGAAATCTGTTATATCTTTTGGGTGGGAAGAGAATAGAAGAATTGTGTCTACATTTGTTAGCTTACTATTTTAGTGAAGGAAACAGTACCAAGAAAAACCTACTTTCAAGCTGTAAGCAATGGTATTATAAAGAATTTTCAGGGAAGGTATAAGCCAAGATTAACACACATAAAAGAAAACAAGTTTTCTCCATTCACATGATTTTCAGATCAATGTGTGGCTATATGCTGGCTATAAGCTAGCATTTTATTTTCCGTGTTATTTACATTGGTACTTCATTCCTGATGCATATAAAATGTATTTGTTGCTGTACATATGTGATGGTTGTCATGCCTTTCAAAGCTGAATTGCACTTGGCATGTCCTCCTACAGGATACTACAAATGACATACATAATTAATAAAGCATAAGAATAGTTCCTCACATTTTATTGCTTCCGCTGGGCACAGACAATCTGCAGCAGCGTGACGCTCTGAAAATAACAAGTCTTCATCACATCAGTTCTTTTCATAGTGAGTTTGCCTTCATTAAAATCATGACATGCATTATTGGTGGGTCTCAAGAAGACCTTCAGATGTGGTTGAGAGGCTCCTATACAAGAGCATATCTGGAAAACAGAAAGAAACATTTGCAACTTCAAGGGAGGGAAGGAGGGAGGGGAGAAAGAGCAGGTCACCAAATTACTAGCTGTATTCTGCCAAGCAGTAAAGTTTCTCAGCTATTTTCTTTATACTGTATCAGAGATATTGGAATGCACATCCAGAAAACACTAAATTCTGGACCCTAGCTTCTTTCAAAGGCACTGTTGACAGGGCACAAAATGGAAAAAAGATAGAGAATGGGGTTCCTCTGAAGCTAAGCAGGTGCAGTTCTGATGATGAGAGACCACTAGGGCCATCAGGTAAGACAAGGGTTTACACAGAGCCCAAAGGACCAAAGACCACTGAAAGGTTGCTTCCCAAAGTTCTCAGAAATGATAACAAACTGGTCCTATCCTCTGAGTAAAAAGAACATTCGTGCCTCTTTGAATTCTGCATCACTACTGGTCACAGCCGTTCTCCAGTTAGAGCACTCAAGGCCCAAGGCTTCCCAGTTTTCGGTGTCTATGGCATAGTTTTAAATGTTGGCTTTAAGCCCATCTTTAAATCTCTTTTCCTGTCTACAAATGTTACATTTCCCATTCTGGAGTTGGGAGTATAGTAACTGTTTTGGGAGACAGTGATTGTGCATTCAGACAACGTGGCCAGTCCAGTAGATGTAGAAGGGAGGTACCTCAATAGTTTCTGCAGTCTGTTGTTTCCCTTTTTTTGAAAAGAGTTATGATGGTGGCATCCCTGAAGTCTAATGGGATTTTTTCGGTAACCCACATTTTTCAATGACCTGATGGAGTTGTTGTTGTCAGCTCATGTCCACCCTCTTTAAAGACTTCAGCAGGGATCCCATCAGGTCTGCTGGCATTGTTATTTTGTTGTTGTTGTTGGCTGATGGCATTGCAGTTTTTTTTCCCCAAACTAGACAGTGCTGCAAGCTCTGGCTTGTTGTGGCGGATTTGTGAGAGAACCTCTTCAGACATGTTGGAGCTGTGATTCAGGACGTTTTGATAGTGCTCTTTACAACGTAGTGCAATTGATTTTTTGTCCATCAGAAATTTGGTTCCATCTGATGAGTGTAGAGGGTGTATACCATGATTTCTTGGTCCATAGATGACCTTTGAGGCTTTTAAAAATAAAGCCACAAAGGTAATCTTTGTGGTCCATAGACAACCTTTGTGACTTTAACAATAAATGGGAGTGTAGTGTTTCCTTTCACAATGTAATAATTCCAATGAGCCAAAAACCTGGTTTCATAATCTTATTCCAAATTCTTCTACAACTTCCATGTGCTGCATTGCAGTTCTCATCAGCCCTACCCAGAATAGTCAGTTATGACATATAATGGGAGTTGCAGTTTAGAACAATCACACATTCTTGTTCTCTGAGACAGAGGAAGCTTTCATTTAGAGCAGTGATTTTCAGTCATTGTTCCTCCAGATGATTTGGACTTGTGCTCCTAACTTCCTGATCATTAGCCAAGCTTACTGGGATTTATGGGAATTTAAGTGAAAAAGACCTAAATTTGAGAGTTCCTGAGTGATAATGTTCTCTTCTATAACAAAGCTGCCTTAGCTTAATTGAAGACAATTCTAGATCGAATCACAACATTATGTATGGTTCTGAGGAAGTAATTCTAAAGGCATAATCTTCACTAAATGTATTCCTGTCTAGACTAAAAAATAACTGGAAAGTTTTCAAGCATGTGGCTGATCATAATGCAATGAGTCCTACAAGCCCCGAGGACATCCATTCATTTCCATAAACAGTCACTTGACCTCTTTGGCCTCTTGAAATTCTTATTATTATTATTATCATTCTGTATCAGCTGGCAATATCTGAGACAATTGGAATGATAAAACTGGAAAACCACAATAAAGCTTCAACAAAACAGAATAGCATGTGACATTTGGGGCTTAAGCAATTTAATCAAATGTTAAGAGGTCTGAGAAAATATAAAAGGTCTTTGTGTGGCATCAGAAGATGTCAAGTAACCCTCAATGGTTGGAATATTACATTTTATGACTTAAATTTGGGTGTTATATTCCTCTGAGTAAATTTATGTAAATGTCATTGGTTTATTAAGTCTTTTCTTGTTGAGTCTAAATTTTGGATTAAGTCTGATGTTAAATGCCAAGAATGAATAAAAATATGAATCTATTCCTATGATTATGGCATTTTAGTTTCTGCAAAGAAAATGGTAGCATCTGTTCTTGGGGAAAATTAGCTTCTACACAGCAATCAAGTATAAATAATTATGAGCTATGCAGTGTCCCTATCCTCTAAATCAGTGTTTCTCAATCTTCCTCATGTTTTGGTGGCCCCCAACCATACAATTCTTTTTGTTGCTACGTCATAGCTGTCATTTTGCTCTTGTTATAAATCGTAATGTAAACATCTGATATGCAGGATGTATTTTCATTCACTGGACCAAATTTGGTACCAATACCCAATACGCCCAAATTTGAACACTGGTGGGGTTGGGAAGAAAATTGATTTTGTCATTTGGGAGCTGTAGTTGCTGAGAATTATAGTTCATCTACAATCAAAGAGCATTCTGAACTCCACCAATGATGGAATTGAACCAAACTTGGCACACAGAACTCCCAGGAATAACAGAAAATACTGGAAGCATTTGGTGGGCATTGACCTTGAGTTTTGGAGTTGTAGTTCACCTACATCCAGAGAGCACTGTGGACACAAATAATTGATAGATATGGGCAAAACTTGGCGTGAGTCGCCCTAAAGGGCTGAGAATGGCGGTTAATAAATGCATCAAATAAATAAATAAATAAATAAATAAATAAGTACTCAGTATGGCCAAATGTGAACATTGGTGGAGTTTGGGGAAAACAGACATTGACATTTGGGAGTTTTAGTTGCTGAGATTTACAGTTTACCTACAACCAAAGAGCATTCTGAACTCCACCATTGATAGAATTGGGCCAAACTTCCCTCACATGCCTTGAAGGGACGTGCTGGCATGAACCTTCCTCCAGCCTTACATGCTCTCCCTTGCTCGCACATGCGCACCATGCTGCCATGCACCAACCTCACCTGCTCTCCCCTCTCCACTTGGAGTCTTAGGAACAGCCTTCCCCTTGGCTGAGAGGCCAGCCAATCACAGCAGAGAAGGGTTTTTGGTGGGAGGATTCACCATCTATTTCCAAAAAGGAAGAGGGCAGGTGGAGAAATCTTCAAACTTCTCTGCCAAGTGGGTTCATAAGACCATCAGAAATATATGTTTTCTGATGTTCTTTGGTGACCCCTCTGAAACCCCCTACCCCCCCCCCCCCCGGGTCCCAACCACAGGTTGAGAAACGCTGCTCTAAATTTTTCTTACCCTGGCCCAGGCTTGTGTTAAGATGCCTAACAAAAACTGTACAATAATTTGCAGAATTAAGTTACCAACATTTGATTGACACTTGAATGTTATCAATAAGAGTTCAGCTGACATTTTTTCTTCCATATCAATACCTTGCAACTTTATTGACAGTTTATCCTAAAAATAACAACAAAGTGAAATAATATCCTAGGATAAATGCAAGATGTTGAGCATTGATGGCAGAATTTATAGTCATCAGAAGAGAAAAATGTTTGATGATTGGCAAAACATGGGTTACAAAACTGCATGCATTAAACAAAGCAATAAATCTCTAAGTGATATATATCCGAGATTTTCCACCATGCAACCTTACTTATAGATCCAGCTAATGCACAACTAAATTTAGACTCAGCAATAGTTAAGATTCTACATAGGAAACTACTTAGCTAATGATCTTTCTCTAAGGCTGGCTAGCTATTGACCGCAGAAGCAATTTCATAATATGCTTCATGGCAAAGCTAAGAGCTCTCTCTTTGATTCATCGCTGACATGTTTTCTGCAAAGAATAAATCCTGGTAGAATATAGGCATTACAAGTAACAGAATTACGCACATCTGTTACTTACAAACATCACTATCTTTGCTCTTGGCACTGACAGCATTCGTGACATGTAGGTTATTTTTGTCTCTTGCTTCCCCCTGATCCCCATCATCCACTTGATGCCTTCACCTACCCATCATCCACTGCTTTGTCCTCTGGAAGAATAGAATGCCTCCTTTCTTTTCACCATATTGGGATCTATATTATTCTCTCTAAAACGAAAAGTGCTTGCATACATTAAAGGAACTGGGTAGTATGGAAACATTATGCTGCATATAATTGCAGAGAAACGGAAAATAGAGAGATGTAACAGAAATGCACATTATTAGCTACTGTAAATGGCTTAGAAAAAGAAAATCTGTACTCCAATTTTGCAATGGCCTCACATGCTAGTAATAACTGTTTCAGGGTTCCTACTACCCAGATTACATTATAAGGAAGCCTTCCCTAAGGTAGCGCCTTCCATATGTGTTGGGTTACAACTCCCACCATCCCCAATCCAGACAAGCATTGTCCAGGATGCACCTGGGTGATGAGAGCTGCAGTCTGATTTGGAAGGTGTCCACATTTAAAATATAATACACCCACTTTTTTATATTCACCCATACTGCATCCATTGATTCTACTATCCATGGCTTGAAAATATTAAAAATAAGACTATCCCAAAAGGAAACCATGATTATACCATTTTATAATAATAGGGCCATGGTGGTGCAATGGGTTAAACCCTTGTGCTGATGAACTGCTGACCTGAAGGTTGGCTGAACTGCTGACCTGAAAGCTGGCAGTTCGAATTCATGAGACAGGGTGAACTCCCGTCTGTCATCCCTAGTTTCTGCCAGTTCGAAAACATACACATGTGAATAGATAAATAGGTGCCACTTCGGCAGGAAAAGACAAAGAGATGCTCCAAGTAGTCTTGCTGGCCACATGACCAGGAGGTGACAACGCAGGCTCCTCAGCTTGAAAATCACCTCCCTGCACCAGAGATGAGCACCACCTCCAGAAGTCAGAAATGAAAGGAGAAGCCTTGCCTTTGTTTGTGTTTGTGTGTGTCATGTGATTGAAAAGGTACTGAATGCTTGCCTATGT